TTTTTATTTTTATTTTTATTGATTTCAAGGGAGTAGTCTAGTTTCCGTTTCGCACGTGCCCTTAGGCGTGCTTAATTTGGAATGTATTCTATTCACTCTGAGTGGAACTGGTACAGATCCAAGTAATCAGAAGCTGGCTTAAATTTAAATACAATTACATGATATTTTGTTCTGTATAAAACTGACTACAACCCTTATATATCAGCTATGGAGAGGATTCCAGTGAACGTGGGAGATCGATGGTTGAAGATAAATACAAGGAGGTATGAACAACCGCTTTTGAACGTCTACATTTCTCCCTCTTCTAACGATCAAGTTATAATTTCAGACCGAGCGCAAAATAGATGAAGCTATTCGTCACTACACACCGGAGTATTTCAAAAAGAGAATGGTATTTGAGTTTTCTTCGAAAGTGAAATCTCACTCTGATAGTTGGGAACTCTGAAACTCAGTAATTTAGAGGTTGTGGGAGAAACCTGCCTATTTTGACAATTTACGCGTGGTTTTTATGCCTTTGTTCCAGCTATGACGTAAACTTAACCATTCAGAGTTTATCACCAACTTTACCCTTGTGGAAATGCGAGTTGTTGGCCAGGAAGCTGTCCAGTGAAAAGATACAAAAAGTTCAAGAAGAAGCTTGGGTATGGTTTCTCTTCTGATGCCTACAGTAGATATGTGTCATTACGTACTATATTCGTATGCCCAAAAAATCTCTAATGAACTGCTAACCCTTCCTTCGAAGACAGCTGGAGCATCCGCCTTCGCGGATCAAGGTCTTTGCCATGTGCACGGTGAAGGAACCGCAGCAGCAGTAACTAGCTACTCTCTTCCGGGGTGGAAGGTAGTGTTACCCTGGTGCCATTGCTGGTCTTCACACACGCTGCTGCGCGGTCATTCACAATCTAACCATAGCCGAACGCGCTACTTGTCTGCGCCCTTCACTTCTAGTTGTTCTCTACCTCTAACTGCATGGGGTAGGTAGGAAAATGGGACGATTGACCCCTCGTTAATGACTTGTCGCACCTACGATTCGAGGCATAATTAACGAGGTGCGAAGCGACCTCATTAAGCCGAGGCACGTCGCGCCAAC